TGGTCACTGAAACAACAGATATATATTACAATCTCATAAAATAGCTAACTCAGTAATAGTGAACTGGGCTGTGTTTGAGAATGGCTAACATTATTTCAGAGACCAGCACCTAGATGTAGTAAATGGCCAACTACAATTTTAAGGGAGAAATGGGGATATTGTCTGACCCTAGATGTAGTTTGTAATCACATAAAGACCAAGCAATAAAAAAAGAAAGAAGACAGCTGAGGGGTAGGGCTAGAGTATATGAAGAGGTAGAATAAAGAGAAAACAAAACAAGCAAAAAAGTCCAGAGCTGGAGACGTATTTTGAAGGCCCAGAAGGGGGTTTGCAGTGCAAGAGAAAGTTACTGGAATGATGGTATTATCAGAGTCATATGACTCTGATGGGTCAGAAAACACCATCCATCTTGTCACTCCCTTGCCCTGACACATAGCTTACTAGAGACCATACCTCCACCTCTATTCAGCCTTTCCTCACACTTCTAATTTTCCATCTTCTTTGATCTTCTCCAAATAAGACAGACCTCCATTATCCCCAACCCTCCCTCTCTCTTCCCAGTCCACTCCAATATGCAAATATCCATCCCCATTTCTTGACCTCCATATCCCTCTCCATCCCGTACCCTTTTCATCACATCTCAGTACTTTCCCTACAATTCTACTTCATCCCATACCCTCTGACACATTTAAATACCTTACGCTTTAACTTTCTCTAGTCCTTTCAAATATGCTGATTCCCACTCCTCACCAAAGGCAGTCCTCCCATCCTGTGCTTGTCAAGCTCTGCCTCCTATCCTTCATCCCATTCTCATTGCCAAGTTTCCTCACAAATTCTGTCCAAATTTCCTAACACTGTATTAGTCTCCATTTATCTGTAGTTCTTTCCAGTATCCTACCTCAACACTTCTATATCCGTCCTGATTCCCCAAACTACTCATCTCAGCAAATATCCTGACATCCTAATCCATTCCAATATTCTGACTTCAAATTATTCTCCTCCTCCAACAAAATAGCCAAACCTCTACACATTCCTCTTCATCCCAATGTGATTGATTGCTTGACTACTAACCTTTCCTTTCTAACACCCTGACCCCCCGTGTCCGTCTTCATCCTATTAATATCCTGGGTTCTCCTCTCATATCTCTCTCCATTCTACTCAGGTATCCTAAAAGCCGATGCCGCCCATCTCTTCCCATTAATTTATTTATTCAGTAATTCAATTTTATTGAGTAACTTTTATGCACTAAGAACTGTGAGGCTTTAAAAATAGAACTGAGAAAGCAGTGTTTCTACACTCAAGATGCACAAAAGGATTACATCTCCCTATTATACACGGTCTTTGCACCAAGTGGTCTCCTTTAATAACATCTTACAATTAGAATTAACCATTTGTACAACAACTTGATTATTGCTTGCTTCTAAGCTACAATACGGCAGAGATTCTATTGTTTGATGTACAATAAATATTTGCTAAATGGATGAAAAGAGGAATGTACTAAGCACTCTAAAGACATTAGCAAATTTAAATTCTTACAGATGATGTAGAAGGTCAGAATTATTAACCTCATTTACTAGTGGCAGTGTTTCACTGAGAATTAAGAGCTTGGGTTTTGGGACTACACAACCCCAGTTCAAATCCTGCTTCTCCACTTACTGTGTGACATTAGGCAAATTACTTAACCTCTCTGATCCTCAGTTTCACCACTTTTAAACTGAAGATGGCTACCTCATGCAAGTTATTTTAAATTCTGAATTAGTTAATACATGCAAAGGACTTAGAACTGAATTTGACACATAGTGTAGACTCAAAGGTAATCAGCAGTTATTTTTACAAACGAGAAAACATGCTCAGGAGGATTAAGGAAGATGCCCAAAGTCACAGAGTGGGTTAAGTAACACTTAAAAGGTGGCACAATCAAGACTTGAACCCAAGTTTCGACATGAAAATTCACCCATCCTTTAACCATTATACAACAAAATATTTGCTCTTCCATTTAACATTTCTTCCCCATATCCTAACTTTCATCATTGTCCATGTACTGTATGCCGTCCAACACCACGACACTCGTGAGGACACCCAAACCTTCTTTATCCCTTTCATCCCCCACAGACACCTGGCACACCCCGGTCCCTCCCTCCTCCTCTGGGTGGCGGGACCCCCATCCTTCTCGGCGCCGCACCCCCAACGTCCACACCTCCCCACATTCCGGTTCCCTATCCCCAAGCGCCCCCGCCATCCCCACCCGTAACCTTTTCGGCACTCGTCCAAACCTCCCTCTTTCATGCTCCTCTCCACGCCCGTTCCGGGCCCTCCCCTCCTTCTCATCCAATCCCAATTCCCAGGAACACGCCCCCGCCCCCGATTCCATCCCCAGCCGGCCCACCCCCCGCTCGGTCCAGGCCTTCGCGCCTTCGCCAGCGGCCCCCACGGCTCCGCCCGATGCCTGAGAACGGCCTCGATCAGGCCTGGCACTTACCGCCAGGGAGCCGAGCGGAGCAGGCCCGCGGGACGAGGCGGGCTGGAGACGCGCAGCTTCTTCCTTCTAGGCGTCCAGCGGCGCAGCGGCCATTTTGTTGTGTTGTGCCGGTTGCCTGGGGGCCGCGCGCGCGGCGTGGGCGGGGCCTGCTGCGGCCACGCCCCTCCCGGGGCCGTTGAGGAGGCGGGGCCGGGCTTCCCGCCGCCTGTGCCGCCTCTGCGTCGGGTACTCAGGGACGCGAGGCTTGCTGATGGTGTGGAGTCTGTGGGGGGTGAGGTTTCCTGCTGCAGCCGCCGACTAGCCCGTCTCCCTTCCCTGAGGCGAAGCCGTAGCTGCCTCACGCCGAGGCTCCGACACGCTCTTGCGGGGGGCGGGCTGGGCCAGAGGCCGACCTGAGGAGACAGACTTGGTGCTGCCGCCAAGCTCCCGCCCTTGCGACGCTGGCAGCAGCTTCTCCTTGCGCGGCCTGTTTTCGGAGACGAATTCTCCCCTTCAGGGACCAGTGAGGCCAGACGTGGATGAAGCGCTGGGCTTGGACTCAGCCGCCACCTGGGGTTAAGGGCGCGAGACCAGCCTGGGAATCCGGGCAGCGAATGTTCCGTGGGCTGTGGAGAATATTCCTCTGCTTGGGGACAGAAGCAAAAGCAAGAAGCATCTGAGGAAACTTGAGTTAGGGCTTGCCTGAAAGTGCTGCATTTCACCGCGTCCATCCAGCAATTATTTGAAGAGAATTTCGCAGATACTGTGCATTAAAAACAAAATCCGTTAGGGCACCTGGGTGGCCCTGTCGGTGGAGCTCAGACTCTTGATTTCTGCTGAGGTCATGATCTCAGGGTGGTGAGATCGAGCCCCAAGTGGGGCTCCATGCCCAGCGGGGAGTCTGTTTGGAATTCTCCCTCCTCCTTTTCCTCTGCCTCCCACTCTTGCTCTCTAAATAAACAAACATAACATCTTTAAGAAAAACCAAAAACCTCTTCAAGGACACCTTCCTCCACCCCAGCCTCCTATTTCCCAGCTTGTAGCTTGAACCGTGTCGCCATCAGAGGCTTCACCATCTCCAGAAATCTCCAGTGCAGCCACTACCTCTCTTTTACCATAATCTTCGAATCTTAACAACTCATTTGCTCAAAAGACCCCCATCCCAGCACAATGCTTAACTTCATTATGATATCCAGTCCCTCATTCTTAAAGATTTTTATTTATTTATTTGAGAGAGAGAGAGTGAGAGACAGAGAGCATGAGAGGGAGGAGGGTCAGAGGGAGAAGCAGACTCCCCGCTGAGCAGGGAGCCCGATGCGGGACTCGATCCCGGGACTCCAGGATCATGACCTGAGCCGAAGGCAGTCGCCCAACCAACTGAGCCACCCAGGCGCCCGAAAATCTTAATTTTAATGCAGCCCAATTCACCAATCTTTGTCTTGTGGTTAATGCTTTTTTTTTTTTAAGATTTTTTTTTAAATTTATTTATTTGAGAGAGAGAATGAGAGAGAGAGAAAGAGAGAGAGCACATGAGAGGGGGGAGGGTCAGAGGGAGAAGCAGACTCCCCGCCGAGCAGGGAGCCCGATGCGGGACTCGATCCCGGCACTCCAGGATCATGACCTGAGCCGAAGGCAGTCGCCCAACCAACTGAGCCACCCAGGCGCCCTCCAGTCCCTCATTCTTAACCATTTGCTCTCAATCCCTTTCTAACCATCAGAGAGTTCATGGTCCCATCTTTGTAACAATGTTTTAGAAATTCCCTCTACCCGTGCCTCAGTTTCCTCATCCATGAAACGGGATAATCATACCTACTTCCTACAGTTTTCCTGATAATTATAAAAGTTAATGCCTGTGAAAGAACTTAGAGATGTGCCTGCCCCATAGTAAATTCTCAAAATGTTTCAGTTATTTTAATATTAGGCAAAGGTTTTCCAGAAGTGATATTTCATCTTAGGCCTGAAAGAGGAAAAGAATTTAGTCAAGGTGTAGGACAGTGGGGGAAGAATTTGCTTGGCAAAGGGAACAACGTGTGCAAACCCCAGGAAAGGGGGAAGAAAGAGCATGACAATCAGCTGGTTGTTAAGTAGATCATTATAGCTGGTGCAAAAATTTGGAGTGAAGAAGCTAAAAAGAAGAAGGTGGAAGAGAGGCCATATTATAAGCCACATTGGGCACTTCTAGTTTTTCCTCAGAAGTGGGTTCACCTCAATAGGAAGTTCGGGTGACTTCCAACAGGGGGCACTATTCCCATTCACATTTACATGAATGATGTTCCCTACCTGTCTCCCGCTATTTATGCAACACAGAAGGAAGCCCTTGGAGTTGTAGAACAAGCCTAAATTCCTGAAAAGCTCCAGATTTTAAATTTAAAAGGAAGATGTATCCATTTTTTATTGACGTTAGATGATATTTGTTAGTTTGGAATGTGTCTGTTGCTGAAGTTCAGTTCTATCGTTTTTTGTTTGTTTTGACATTCATTTCTTTTTCTCTTTTCCACCAGAGAATTGGATTTATTGTGTAACCTCAGTGGTATGCCTCGCCGTCTATAATGATATTCAGGTGGGTTCCATTATCAAATCATGGTGTGCTGGTGTAGTTCATTATCAATGCTATCAAACATATACACAAAATATGCAAAAATAATTGATTCCAGCAAAAATATACACAAAATCCAGAGGATAGTGCAAAACACTTTTCCAGTTAACCTTGATGGGTACTCTCCAGTCCCTTATTGCCAAATTTTCCTCCTTCATCCAGATACAGTACCCTCTACTAGGGTCTAGCATGAGGGTGTTAGACCTCAGGCCTTAGAGATGTCAGAGGGGAAATCTTTCTCTAGGTAATTAGAATATTAACTGCGTCCCTTTGCATGCTAAAAGAACCTCCCTCCCCAAAGCAAGAGTGAGAATAGGAAAGGAATGAGGGTACCTCGTTCATTCCACACTAATTTGTATTTAACTCAAAATATGAAGAAGTTGTTTCCTTCTGTTGCATTTACAATACAAATATTAGCCATGGTAGAGTCGCTTGGCTGTCCCTTGGTTCTTTCCTAATGATAGCAAAGTTATTTTGTTTGTTTGAACTTGCCTCATTTTGAAACCCAGTTTAATGATTTTGCAAATTTGCTTTAGAGGAGAATCAGACTAGCTGGTCAGGCAGGGATGAAGCTTCTGCTACTGCCATTTCTTTCTGTGACTTTAAAAGTTAACTAAATTACAGATGTATTTTAAAATAAATGCTATTATGTGCCAGGTTTGTGGGGGTGCAGTGGTGAATGAGATAGACACAGTTTTTACCCTGAAAGAGATTGCAATCTAGTGGGAAATACAGAAAAGTAAGACACTCTGATAATGGAATAGAATTAGAGACTTGGTGGTGTTCCATGCGAATCCATGTATGGGTTGGGTCCAGATGGGAAGGACCTACAATATCCAGTGATTTATAACAACCCTATCCAGGTTAACCTTGGGCTGTTTCCAGTGCCAATGTTTGAAATGACACCAAGACTTGAAGAATTTGAGGCCTGCCCTGTGAGTTCAGATCTAAAGGCCAGAACAGGCCTTTTGTGCTCAGGTCCAAACCAGACCCTACTCAGGCAAACCTTGAACCCCTCTGTCTCTGAACCATACCACCTGAATCGAGACTGTTATTTGTCTTTCACCTCTTTAGGGTTGGAGTGGCTCTCCCATGTGACCAGAGAATATGTAAGACCAGTATAGCCTCCAGATGCTATTGGCTTGTATCTAGCTTTGAAATATTTTAAGCTCTAGATTCCTGTAAGTTCCTTCCTAATTTTAAAGCTTTTGTAAGTTAATATTTTGAATTTCTACAAAAGGGAAACCCTTTCTTTCAGAAGCATTCCAGCTAATAAATACAGATGAAATGCCCAAGTTAGGAAATTGCCATTTTGCAACCTGTAACATATTTGATTCAGACACAGATCATCAAGAGATGTTGAAACCATTACATGAAATATAGTTGGGGAATAAGATATTCACTTGGTCTCAAAATATCACCCTACAGATATCATCAAAAGGGAATAAATTCAGGATAACATCAGAATGGGAAGTGAACTAGAGACAAATTTCTAGAAGAAGGAAAATACCATATTTACATTGACCGGTGAATCAGAGATGAGGGAGATTGACAGTCCATATAAAACTTTACCAGATTCTTGGGGCACCTGGGTGGCTCAGTCATTAAGCGTCTGCCTTCGACTCAGGTCGTGATCCGAGTCCTGGGATCAGGCCCGTACCGGCTCCCTGTCCATGGGAAGACTGCTTCTCCCTCCCCCACTCCCCCTGCTTGTTTTCCCTCTCTCGCTCTGTCTCTCTCTGTCAAATAAATAAATAAAATCTTAAAAAAAAGAAAAAAAAAACTTTACTAGATTCTTTTTAACAGATTTATGGAATGTAAGAACTAGAGAGAATTTCATCTAGCTTACCTCCTTCAATTTACAGTTAACATTATCATCATCTTTCAGTCTTAAAAGATAAAGTTATTTTCTTACATAGAAATGGCCAGGCTCTAGTGTTAAGTCATTGGCTCGGGGCTGCCTGGGAAGGGCACAGCCTCAGCTTGAAAGCTAATGTGGGTCTTGAAAGCATTAACAACTGGAAGCTATTAACTAATATGCTCTTTGCAGCTGGATGGCAAGTTCTTTCTATAAGTGAAATCCAAGCAGCCCGCTCTGTTGCCAAAGTGCAAAAGGTATGTGCTGAGGGTGTTGGTGTCTGATGATAAGGGTGCTTTTGTATTGAGGGAGGGGTCTCCTGAACCAGTAGGTCCTGGCCTCTCGTCATTCTTTCTTTTATTTAAATTTTATTTATTTATTTGAGAGAGAGAGAATGAGAGAGAGAGAGCACGAGAGGGGGAGGGTCAGAGGGAGAAACAGACTCCCCGCTCAGCAGGGAGCCCGATGCGGACTCGATACTGGGACTCCAGGATCATGACCTGAGCCGAAGGCAGTCACTTAACCAACTGAGCCACCCAGGCACCCTCTTTTTTTTTTCCTTTTATGTCCTGTCCAGATATAATTAACTCTTTGTTATTATTAATGCTACTCACCACTATAACCAATCAAAACCATACTACTGAGTTCTCTCGTCTTCTCAATGCCCCATGGAGACGTAAGCATTTTTAGCCAGCCTGTTATTGGGGTTTCCTGGAGGCTCAAGCATAGCCTATTGAGGCTGAACCCAAGGAAAGTCAGAATGGCAATGTCTATTGTCAGAATTATCTTCCCATCTCCATGTAGCCTGATGCAGGAACTTGAACTCCTCTTAACTACCTCTTGTAATAATTTCTGAGGACCTCCCTAGTAATTATGCCTTAGGTGACCTTCATTTGGATAATGCTTAGGTTCCAGCTGGTACTCTAAAAAGGTAAAAGAAAAGAGATCAAACTGATCCTAGGAGATAGTCACATAGAAGAGAATCTACTTCTAGTACAGTGGTTTAGTCTTGGCTGTATATTTAATTATGAGAGGGGCTTAAAAATACTCATGCCTGCCCACCCCACCCCATTCAGACCTTGATTTAATCAGTCCAAAGCATGGCCTAGGATTCAAGATTTTTAAAAGCTCCCCAGATGACTTTAATGTGCAGACGAGACTCAGAACCACTACCCTAGTTGGTGGTGGAAACTAAAGAAAGAAGCATCATTTGACAAAATCAGCATGTGAGTTCTTCAATTTGTTCAGTTCCTTTGTTCAGTAAATACAGCAAATTTGACTCAGCCCTGCCTACCAGACATGACTACATTTCATTACTGGACAAGTAGAATATAAAAAGAGATTGGTGGAATTGTATAGAAAGTATAAGTATTCAGTAAGAATAGGGTCTTCAAGGCACACACAGAAAGAGGCATTATTCTCTTCAGAGTAGATCAAGGAAGATACCTTATAAAAAAGTGTTTGTAGGCTGAGACCTGAAGACAACCAATGGGAATTACTCACATGAGGAAGGTGGGAAGAGCATCTAAGGCAAAGGGAATAGGTAGGCTGTCAAAGACCAAAGATATTTGAGAGAACAACTTCAGGAAACCAGAAATTCATCAGCAGGGCTAGAGCATAGTTGGAACAATAAAAACCGTAAATTAGGTGCCACAGCCGAAGGGGCTAGATGGTGTTAAATCTGTAGATCAATTTGGGGGCATATTGCAATATTAATGATATTAAGTCTTCTGAGTCATAAACTTGGGATGTCCTTCTATTTAAGTTTTCTTTAATTCTTTCCACATGTTTTGTAGTTTTCAAAATGCAACTTTTATACTTCAAGTTTTTTCTGAAGTACTTTATTTTCTTTGATGCTATTATAAATGGAAGTGTTTTCTTAATTTCATTTCAGTTTAATCATTGCTGCTGTATAGAAATACAATTGACTTTTGTATATAGATCCAGTATCCTGCAACCTGGCTGAACTTATTTCTTAAATTTAATTTTTTTTTAGTGGATTACTTTGGATTTTCTATATACCAGATCATGTCATTCGCAAATGGAGATAATGTCACTTCTTCCTTTCCTTCCTTTTATTTATTTTTCTCACCTAACTGTCCTGGTTAGAACTTCTAGGATAATGTTGAATGGAAGTGGGAAAAGTAGGCATCCTTGTTTTTTTTTCTGATCTTGGAGGAAAGCATTCAATCTTTTACCATTTAAGTATGATGTTAACTGTGGATTTTTCTTAGATGCTGTTATCAGGTTGGAGAAGTTCTCTTCTACTTCTAGCATGTTGAGTATTTGTTGTTTTGTTTTGTTTTAAATCATAAAAGAGTCTTGAATTTTGTAAAATGCTTTTTCTGCAACTATTGAGATGACCATGTGGGTTTTGTTCTTCATTCTGTTGTTATGGTGTTTTACATTAATTAATTTTGGGATGTTAAACCAACCTTACATTCCTGGGATAAATCCCACTTCCTCGTGGTGTATAATCTTTTTATATGCTGGATTTGTTTTGCTAATATATTGTTGAGGATTTTTGCATGTATATTCGTAAGTGATAATCGGTTTCTAATTTTCTTATGCTGTCTTTGGTTTGGGTATCAGGGTAATACTGGTCTGATAGAATGAATTGGGAAGTGTTCCCTCCTCTTCTATTTTTTGAGAAGAATTGGCATTAATTCTTCTTTATATGTTTGATTCCAGTGAAGCCTTTGGACTTGGGCTTCTTTTTGTGGGTAGTTTTTAAATTGCTAATTGAATTTCTTTACTTACTAGAGGTCTTTTCTTTTTTTTTTTTTTACTGTCTTTTAAATCTTAAAGACATACTTTGCAACTTTCCAGTCCCAACTTTTTTTTTTTTATTCTTATGTTAATCCCCATACATTACACCATTAGTTTTAGAGGAAGTGTTCCATGATTCATTGTTTGTGCACAACACCCAGTGCTCCATGCAGAATGTGCCCTCCTCAATACCCACCACCAGGCTAACCCATCCTCCCACCCCCCTCCCCTCTAGAACCCTATTTGTTTTTCAGAGTCCATCGTCTTAGAGGTCTTTTCTGATTGTCTATCTCTTCTTTGGTCAATTTTAGTAGTTTATGTATTTCTAGGAACTTTTCTATTTCATCTGTTTTTTTAATTTCATCCTGTTGGCATACAGTTGTTCATAGCATTCCCTTATAGTCCTTTCCATTTGTGGAATATTGGGAATAATGTCTTGTCTTTCATTCATTATTTTAGTAATTTGAGTCTTTTTTCTTAGAGAGCTTAGCTAAAGATTTGCTAATTTTGTCGATCTTTTTAAAGAAACAAGTTTTGGTTAAGTTGATTTTCTCTATTGTTTTTCTATTCTCTAATTCCCACTCTAATCCTTATTATTTCCTTTCTTCTACTTGCTTTGCATTTAGTTTCCTCTTCTTTTCCTACTGTCTTAAGGTGGAGGTTAGGTTGTGCTTTGAGATCTTTTTTTTTTTTAAGATTTATTTGAGAGAGAGAGAGACAGCGCCTACACAAGCAGGGGGAGAGGCAAAAGGAGAAGCATGTTCCCTGCTGAGCAGGGAGCCTGACATGGGATTGGATCCCAGAACCCTGGGATCATGACCTGAGCCCAAGGTAGATGCTTAACTGACTGAGCCACCCAGGCGCCCCAAGATCTTTCTTCTTTTTTAATGTAGGTGTTTATAGCTACAGAATTTCCTCTAAGCACTGCTTTCATTGCATCCCATATATTTTGGTATGTTGTGTCTTCATTTTCATTGATCTCAAAGTATTTTCCAATTTCCTTTGTGATTTTTTTTTCTTTGACCCATTGGTTATGTATTAAGTTTAAGATGCCAATTAGATATCCAAGTGGAGATATGAGTAAGGCAGTTAGATATACAACTCTAGGGCTTAGAAAAGTGGTCCACCTGATGGGTGGACCATGGGACTGAGTACAAAACAAGTAACACAGATTGTTCTTTTGTGGTCTAAATATTGAAGCCCATGTGAAAAGAAGACATATGTTAAATATGCTCTTGAAATAAAGTGTTGTTATTTTGTTTTTGTTTTTTGTGTTTTTTGGATGGCTTCGGTTACTGAGACAGTTGGCCAAAAATAAAAACAGAGCTAAAATCATTCTCATCTCTGATGAGAGTGTTTCTAACACTGTTGGTCTGAAAATGTTCTGGACTGGATCTATGCAGCTGCAACCTTAAGGTCCTTTTACATTAAATCATTCTTTTCAGTACATTGTTGCTTCTTTGTTTTCCTATCATTGCTCCTCCTTGACATGGTTCAAAATTCAGTCAATGGTTTAAATATTAGCTTACAAGTGTCTGTTTAGAAGAATATGTTGCAATAGCACGTATGTCCCAACATTACTTCCATGAGAATGTTCATTAACTACTCACACAAGTCCATCAGTCCCAACAAAATTATAAAGTCAAACATTGCAGTTGTAAAGCCCTGCCTAACACACTATCAAAATCTAAAACTTTTGTGGTATATCAGTTTTTAAAGTTGCTGTTGTGAATGAATGTTTGACATTTCAGGATTTCATGAATTTCTGGTTGCATTTTACCTTAGAGAACAATTTCACTAATGCTTTGGATAAAATGAACTACCTATCTATTCTTTTCATGGAACAAAGAACATTAGTAGGTCATAAAGAGATGGTCAACATCCCCAGGGTCAGAGCAGCAAGGTCAAAATGTCCTTGTTTGTTTCCCATTGCATACAAAATGAAGTCCAGACTCATTAACATGGCATTCAGGGCCATATACAATCTGCCCTCAACCTACCTTTCAATATTATTTTCCTTGGTCCACCTGATCATTCATTCATTCATTCATTCATTCATTTGGCAATAATTTGTTGAGTGTCTTAAGTGTCCTTAGGCACTGTAATAAGTTCTAGGGTATATCCCCATTGTATATGTTAGACCCACTACCTGTCCTCATGGAACTTACAACCTAGACAGAAGAACAGTCAAGTGAACAGGCAATTACAAAACCCAATCACCTAACCCCTAGCCATCCCAACTATACCTAGAGACTTGCAGTTCAGGATGGGACCATACATGCAACTGAATGCAGATTTGAGAAAGCCTAAGCTAACAATAGCTTCATAGCTCCCTTGGCCATGTCCTGGTCATCGACATTGATGGATCATTTCTAGCCCTAGAATTCCTGGGAACATCTCAGCATTTGGGAAGCTGCCTTGGGATTTCAGACCTGCTCTAAAGTGGTCAGTACAGGCCTCATGGGCCCCAATTCAAACCAGACCCATTCCAGGGAAGCTTCAGAACCACTTCCATATCTGAGACATTCTACACGTGGTCCAGGATGATAGTCCTTTCCCATGCTCTGTAAATTTAGAATGTAGAGCCTGAGACAGGGAGGCAGTCTTATGCAAGTAGGTTTATTGCAAGACTTCTCTCAAAAGAAACCTGTAAGCCATGAGGGAAGCTGCACAGGGCAAGGCAGGATCTAAGCAAAGACGTGGTGTCAACTGAGGTCTAGCTTTAGCCTGATCCCGGGGCGGGGCGGGGGAGGCGCTGCTCTCTAGCGTGCATGGTACCACAAAGTTGTCCCACCTTGAAGCAAGGTAGCTAGGTAGTTGTGTCCCCAGAATCAGTCAGTTATTGACTATGGACCAATCCTAGAGAGAGGATGTAACTTCTCAAGCATTTCTGGGCAAGCTGTCCGCCATGGCTGAAGCAAATTACCTGGAGAAGGGGGAAACTTTAGCAGCCAACACTCACAGTATCTATAGGATGGGTGCACCAAGCCCGGGAAAGGGGATCTTGTCACGGCATCAACTGCATCTACTACACTCAGAAAATGTGCCAGAGCAGCTTCCAAGTGTTTGTCTGTGTCCAGGTTTGAAACACTCCCATTTGGGTGTCTTTTCTGCTTTACTCATCAAAATCTGCTTATACTTCAAATTACAAAATTACCTATGAACGTTAAAAGGTTGTGATTTAGATTCTTAAACTTCCTTCTCAGTGATCCCACTATCTAATGTTAATAATTAACCTGAAGGGCGCCTGGGTGGCTCAGTTGGTTAAGCGACTGCCTTCAGCTCAGGTCAAGATCCCAGGGTCCTGGGATCGAGTCCCGCATCGGGCTCCCTGCTCCTTGGGAGCCTGCTTCTCCCTCTCCCACTCCCCCTGCTTATGTTCCTGCTCTCGCTGTCTCTCTCTCTGTCAAATAAATAAATAAAAATCTTTAAAAAAAAAATTAACCTGAAGACTAATTTAACCAAATTCTTCAAGCTGAGTTTACAAAAAGGAGGGCAGTTTCAGGAAAGGTTCTGTCAATAGTTTAATGCTACCCCAGCCATGAACATTTTTGGTCTATATTTTTTTCTACTTGGGAAAAAGTTGGGTACAGGAGCAAACGTAAGTGAAAGACCCCATTTTCATTTGCAATGTATTTTGGTTATAATTTTATAGAAAAAAGAACTCAATCAGCTGCCACATGAAATTTTCTACTTCTGAAAACTGAATTGAATTTCTTCTTTTATCTATTGTCCTATGCCGTTGCTCTGTTTTCTATATGAGTACTTTGTGAACAGTGTTTGACTTGTATTCTAAAACTTCATATTTTTCCCAAGCTGTTACCCTTGCCCCAGGGAAGAGTAACTTACTGATTGATATTTTGGTTAAAAATGGATTCTTTGAAAGACTGACACATAATCCCTATTTGCATTTCTTATAGAGGATTCTATTAAACATACCCAGGCTGCAACTGATCAAAACCACTACCATGTGTCTGCTTGAAATCTAATCCTTGGGATGCTTTCAGGAAGCTATCCTGGCTTTATCATAGATAATAAAATTTTGAGAAATAAAAAATATGTTGTTAGGTGTAAGAAACGTTGCTAATTTCAATTGATTCTCCTAAGTGAAAAATGTTTTAAAAATATGTTTTATTAACAGATTGACTATATTTTATTGTTTCAACAGGTATGTTGTCTCAGCACCTATTGTATTCTATGTTTGGAACCTCTGAAAATGTAGTAATTCAAGTTCATGGATACACAGACTCATTTGCTGTGACCACTGCTATTAAAAGTTATCCTGATAATAGTTCTACATATTCTTTTGGCCAAGGTAATTTATCTCCAAAAAATAAACTCCAAAGTTCTGCAAACTTAACTGTATGTATTCTTATAATAGTTTATTTTATATGCCAAACGTTTCTTTATAAAACACACATGGATCCTTTCTACATATGTGGGTGTAAAAATGTGTTACATCATACTATTAAGTGAATCTACTATTTAATAAGAAATAAATGCCATATGTTTATAAAGGTAAGTAAGTGGGAAATGTTAAATAGAGAATCCACTTTTTATTTGGGGGCAATGTAAAGAAATGTATAAAGCAGATAAAGGTTATTAAGGTGAAAAGATCTGATGATATGAGTTGAAAATGAAGTCAACCGACACATACACCCGTTTAAAAATTGCAAGATGAATACAGTAGTCTCTTCTGATCAGCTGTTTCACTTTCCGTGGTTTCAGTTAACCGTGGTCAACTGTGGTCCAGAAGCAGATGATCCCCCTCCTAATGTATCATCAGAAGGTCAATCATAGCCTCACACTACATCACACACCTGTGTCATTCACCTCACTTCCTCTCATCACACAGGCATTTTACCATCTCGCATCATCACAAGAGGAGTAAATACAGTAAAGTAAGATATTTTGAGAGAGAAAAATAGACCACTTTTATTATGGCATATTGCTATAATTGTTCTATTTTATTATTAGTTACTGTTAATCTCTTGCTGTGCCTAATTTATAAATTAAACTTTATCATAGGTATTTTGTATAGAAAAAAACCTGTATTTATATATAGGGTTTGGTACTAACCACAGTTTCAGGCATCCACTGGGGGTCTTGGAATGTATCCCTCATGGATAAAGGGGGACTACTGTACTAGAAAGAGATAATTTATATACTTAAATTTTATATATTCAGAGGAAAAATAGAGGAAGAGAAAGACATAGAGGTTTTTTGTTTTTGTTTTTTTAATATTTTATTTATTTATTTGACAGAGAGAGACACAGTGAGAGAGGGAACACAAGCAAGGGGAGTGGGAGAGGGAGAAGCAGGCTTACCGCGGAGCAGGGAGCCTGATGCGAGGCTGGATCCCAGGACCCTGGGATCATGACCTGAGCCGAAGGCAGATGCTTAACGACTGAGCCACCCAGGTGCCCCTAGACATAGGTTTGACTTTGTTGATTTAAAAATTCAAAGAGGTAAATGGAGAAAAATTTGAACATTTGTTTTCCTAAATTATGTACAACATTCTAACCTCTTTGTTTTCTACAAAAATTAGTTTTTTCCTAAAATATGTACCTTTGATAGGTTTTTAGTACTTTCTCTTTGGACTTGAATCAAACAAATTTTCCTTCAAACGAATTTGTGAACAATATTCAAGGAAAATTAGAGACGTGTCTGCAATTACTATAAAACTTACTGGCCATATGCAAAACATTTGAAGAGGGCTACATACTAAATATACAATGACCAATGGACATGAAAAACATTAGCAAAAGAAAGGTTTCAAAGTATAAGTCCATATAGAACTATAAATATAAGCAATATTTTGTTCATTTATACTACCATGTGGTAAGTCATTTAATCCCCCCATTCTCCCACCCCTCCATTGCTGATAAACTTTTGATCTTTCTTAATGACTTGGTTATTTTGTCTATTAAAAATTGAATTTTTTCAGTGATTGTCATTTTTAATAGACATTAAATCTGGATCAGTTTTTTTAAGTAATTATTTCAAACTAAATTTGATAAGAAACCAAAATCCAGAGGTGTTCCTGGAAAGATATATTTACTGTTTTATTTTACAAAATTTTCATATTTGTTGCATATAAACAATTCAAATCACTCTCATAGCTAACTAAAAGACAAACGCTTTTGCTATTTTAAGATTATTATATAATATTTCCTCCATTAACTTTTTTTTTTTAACAGATACAACCAAAAGATTTATCTGGAGCACCAAATGCAGTTTCATAGGTATATTTAGAAGTTGTATCTGATCATTTTTCAAAAGCAGCAAAAATTCCACCATGCTATGACAATGGATTTCTCTTCATTCAGACAGACAGATGTGTTTACAATTCAGATGAGTCAAGTATAATAAAAAGGGAATTTTAGTTTCTGGAAAAAAAGTAGGATGATTGATTAATGGTATTGAGACCAGTGGCTTATCTTTGAAGGGAAAAATGAAGTTAATTCCCAACTTTATACCATACACAAAAATGAAAGAGTTGACAAACTGAAGGTTAAATTGTACATTATAAAAACAAAGAATCAGCAAAATATGAGCATAATTTGGAGGTAGGAGGGACCTTTCTTAGAATGATGCCAAGTCTCCTTTCAAAATGTTCTTTAAAAAAACGTGAGGTGAGCTGAAAGTTAATACAAGAAGATGAATTTTAACTTTGAAAAAAAAAATCTCATGTTTAGTATATGTGCTGCCGAAGCGAGCACAAAAAAATCTCATGTTTATTCTCAATGTCATCTTTTAGAAATAATATTTCAATTTAATATTAACATAGAAAATTGTGAACCAGATTGCAAAATTCGCCTAGCAATGTTTGTCTCCATTGGGAATGGTTTCAGTCTTCTAGTAAATTTCCTCTTACAAATTATCTCAAGGGAGGGAAGGCAGGTCAGGCAAATGGGCATACCAAATGCAGCAGCACTTTACGAATTGCCATTAAAGATGAGGGCAATGGTGATGATGCTAATCAGGTGACCAAAGATAGAGGTCACCTCCATAATTTTAGCAACAGGACAAACTCCCTGCCAGTACACATTGGCTGCTCCTTAGACACTCAGAACTGTTTGTGGATGCCTGATCAGAAAAATCACTAGGTATCTAAGGTGAGATGTCCTGCCTGTGAGACTCTCACCCTTCTGTGCACTCAAGTACTTAATATTTTGAGATATGCAGATTCTTGCCTGCATCTTATGTGTTAGAGAATACTTCACTGGGTCTGTTGATGCAATTTACTGCTTACATTCCTCTCACTCTACTCTATAATAATTTCAGGTACCAGGGGGCCGCAGTCTTTCTTATCTATCAGTGGTTTCAAAATATAAAAGGTTTACTGAAAATAATGAGTTGAATCGTATTTTAAATGCATAAAGGGAAATATTTAAAAGAACCCATTCAGGAAATTTTTGGTGAAAAGAACATTTTTTTCACTTTAATATAAAGTTCACATCCAATATTCTAATTCATCTTTTCCTTTTTTTGTTTTTTTTGTTTTTCTTTTTTAAAAGTAAGCTTTACTAGGGGACGCCTGGGTGGCTCAGTTGGTTAAGTGGCTGCCTTCAGCTCAGGTCATGATCCCAGGGTCCTGGGATTGAGCCCCACGTCAGGCTCCTTCCTCAACAGGGAGCCTGCTTCTCCCTCTCCCTCTGCCTGCCACTCCACCGGCTTGTGCTCTCCCTCTTTCTATCTCTATCAAGTAAATAAATAAAATCTTTAAAAAAAAAAAAAAGGTAAGCTTTACTATATTCAATGTGGGGCTTGAAATCATGACCGTGAGATCAAGAGCCACATACTCTAACAACTGAGCCAGCCAGGAGCCCCTAATTCATCTTTTCCTTTAAACTTGGATTTTATGTTTGGACTTTTAAATTTTTATTTTAAATTTCATGACCCTCATGTTATAGGGTTATTAATAATATTGTCAGATCATTTAGAGTTGAACAGAGTTTCTAATAATGACAGTTTTTTTTTCTTATAGTAAAAGTTAGAATTTATTCATTGGATGAAGACCTAAAACCATAACAAAGGGAAATTACCTTAACTTTTATAGTGAGTATGCTTTTAATTTAAATCAAAATTTAACCTTGGCATTTTCATTATATGAATAGTTTTCATCAATATAGCACAAGTCAAATGTGGCATTAATTTATTCAATATTAAATAGCAGCAGACATTTATTGAGCACTTATTTTGGGAACAACCTGGTAATTTTATACTTCTTTTATCCCAATTGATAACTTTGGTGTATAAATTAAATGTTAGTGGAAATACATTTTAAATGGCTCCATTAAAGAACACCCTTTAGGGCGCCTGGGTGGCTCAGTTGGTTAAGCAACTGCCTTCGGCTCAGGTCATGATCCTGGAGTCCCGGGATCGAGTCCCACATCGGGCTCCCTGCTCGGCAGGGAGTCTGCTTCTCCCTCTGACCCTCCTCCCTCTCATGCTCTCTGTCTCTCATTCTCTCTGTCTCAAATAAATAAATAAAATCTTTAAAAAAAAAAAAGAACACCCTTTATTTTTTTAAACCAATATAAATCATTTATTTTTTATCAGTAATTATTTTTTTATTATTAACATATAATGTATTATTTGTTTCAGGGGTACAGGTCTGTGATTCATCAGTCTTACACAATACGCAGTGCTCCCCACAACACATACCCTCCCCAATGTCCATTACCCAGCCATCCCATACCCCCACCTCGCTCCCCTCCAGCAACCCTCAGTTTGTGTCCTGAGGTTAAGAGTCTCTTATTGGTTTGTCTCCCTCTCTGGTTTTGTCTTGTTTCATTTTTTCCTCTCTTCCCCTATGATCCTCTGCCTTCTTTCTCAAATTCCACATATCAGTGAGATCATATGATAATTGTCTTTCTCTGATTGACTTATTTAGCTTAGCATAATAACCTCTAGTTCCATCCATGTTGTTGCAAATGGCAAGATTTCATTTTTTGATGGCTGCATAATATTCCATTTTGTGTGTGTACATATATATATACACACACACACCACATCTTCTTTATCCATTCATCTGTCAATGGACATCTGGGCTCTTTCCATAGTTTGGCTATTGTGGACATTGCTGCTATAAACTTTGGGATGTAGGTGCCCCTTCGGATTACTACATTTGTATCTTTGGGATAAATACCCAGTAGTGCAATTGCTGGGTCGTAGGGTAGCTCTATTTTCAACTTTTTGAGGAACCTCCATACTGTTTTCCAGAGTGGTTGCACCAGCTTGCATTCCCACCAACAGTGGGACTTTCCTCTTGTGATTGAGTCTGAGTTTCAAAGCAA